CATTTTTGGATGGAATAGGGAATGGTTAATACTGTTTGTCATCTGTGTCAGATTGTCATCTGTGCTGAGAGACTGTCACTTTGAGAGATTTTTGTTCACTTTCTGTCCTGTAAACAGAACAGAAAAGGAGGAGAAATCTCTCCAAGGTGAGGCTCAGGAACAAGTCTTCCTATTTGAGGTTTTCTACTTTATCCCAGTTTTTCTGGTAACTCTAAGTTTAGATTTTCCCATACCTCCAGTTCTTATGACAGCAGTCAACAGCTCCAGCATAGAGGACAAATCTCCCTAACAAGGATAACAGAAAACATTAAAAACCTTAGTTTATAACCCCTTGCCATCCCAATCCAAAAAAAATGTCAAATAAATTACCTTTGCAGTGCCCTCCCACTGCAAGGGTAAATGCTTCTAGAGTCTAGGGAATAGAGGAAAAGCCTATCATACCTAAAACCCAGCTCCAGGCCATTATGAAATTTACATAGTACATTTTCACCTGCTCAGTCTTTATTGCCAAACAAAACCTCCTCCCAAGCCATCTTGCAGCGTAATGGATCAAAGTCATAGCTTTTTCTATGAACTAAGCTCATTTCCTGCCTCGTTGACCTAACATTTTTCCCTGCTCGTTATCTTCTTGGGCACTGGTCCTCTTACCGTCCCTGTGAATTCTCCTATCTCTGAAGCCTAAGAGAGAAGACCGGATGGCTGGAAGTTGCCCTCAACAATAGGAAATATCCACATCACACAGGCAGTAAAGTGGACACCCACCCTGGACATAAAGAGAAGAGAAAAGGATTTTAACATGACCATGGCTTCAGGTTAGTAAAATGGATATTTGGATAGGTTTTACTTTTTTATACCTATACCAGCAGTTAATGAGAAGAGGATGAGGGAGTGGGTTGCTTGCATCCTGGTGTTGGGCTTTAAAGTGGTTGCAAACCTCAGACATGAAATATGAACAAAGCATATCCCTCTATAGTGTGTACTTGTCTCAATCTAGAGCACTAAGTGTCATTGCTGTCTGCTGTCTCCTTCCACTTGTATCAGTATGAGTAACTTCTGACACGTTTTCCTGACACCAAGAGAAAAATGTGACAGGGGATGGAACAGACTGTGATTGACAGCTTCAGCTCTGTTCCTGTGAGCTGTGCGAAGGGGGGGAAGGGGGGGGGGGGGTTTCCTTCCCTCCAATCAGCTCTCAGAGCTCTCCTCATTGAGTAACTTCAGCTCCCCGCCCCCTTCTTTTCAGAGCTGAGAGATCCTGTGTAAATTCTGCACTTTGAATGGATCTAAGGAACAGACGGATGTAAGAGGATTTGTTTCATCTTTGTGTATCACCTGAGGCCAGTCACTTTCCAGGGTATATGTAAGGGTTTGCAACCTCTTTAACATATTCCTTGCTCCCTCAGTAGTTTGCACTCTCTTCCCTTCAATGCTTTTGCATTGTACTTGATGACATCAGCATGCAAACATCTTTGAGAAGAGATGTCGGGTAATTGGTCACATAATGTGGTGAAAGCTTACTGGAGTAAGGCGTACGGGAGGTATTACAGCTTATTCCTCAACCCCTATGCTTAAAAAGGAACTGAAGGCATTTGTTAACTTGTGGATAGAGCTGAGAGGGATTAAAACACCTGTCAGGTCTTTATTTGCTGTCTGTATCCCCGTTAAGGACATTCATCCTCTCTATTGGTCTTATTTATCATTATCATCAAAAGTGAAAGAAAATACCAAATTTTGGGTTGTCACCAGAACATTATTAGAGAAGCCTTCCAATGGGGACACTTGTTCTGTTTACAAACAGGGGTTCCCATACTTTGGAGGGATTTCTTCTCACTTCCTATTTTGGTTATGGGACAGGAAGTGATGGGAAATTTCCCCTATGTGACACAGGGTTATAGCTCTCCCCATACTCTACCCAAAATGAAAAAAAAACATTTTGCCTATAGTTCTCCTTTAGGGCTCATTCACACCATAAGTGCAAGAAAACTGATACACAGATTTCACTTGCAGAAACATCCGTTTACATCAGTTTTCATGCAAGCTTCAATGTGTTTTATACACATTGCAGATTCCTGTGCACAAAAAAATCTGCACGTGATACTCACGTTGTGGTGTGAACAGGGCCCATGGAGAACAATTGATCTTGTTGTGCCCTTGCAGAACGCATGCAGAAAAACAGACATCTCTGTATCAAGGTGTGAATGAGCCCTTAAAGTGAAACTAAAGTTGAAGGGAAAAAAAAATAAAAAAAATAAAATCAGCAAGCAGGCAGACTGTTCATTACAGAAGAGACATACAGTCTCTGTTCTGTGATAAAATACTCCTACCTGTCTGTGGGTAGACTAAGCTGTGCAGCTCCATTTACACTCCAGCATGCCGCCTGTACTCCTGAAGGACTGATCTCCTGCACAAGTGTAGAAGTGAAATCATTCAAACAATCAAGACGCCAGAACAGAACCTCGCAAGTGTTCAACAATTAGAACTAAAGGCAAAAATACTTTCCTAACTTCCACTTTCAAGAGTTACTTCACCTTTACAAAAAAAACTGCCTATGTGCAGCTCTGACTGAAACTGAATGATACCCTTGCTGTAGGTGTAGGCCATTTACATACCTCATGAAGCCTGACTGGAATACTCCCAGGACGTTAGAAAGTGAGGCCTAGTCATTACTGCTCACCTCCACCATCACAGGAGTGAGCGCCTTCTCTCCACTGTTGTACTGGCCTTGAGAGCTCGCCCCTGAGAAGGTGCACAGTAATGACTAGGCCTCACTTAATGTCTTGGGAGATACTCCACTCAGGCTTCATGGCCTACACACCACAAAAGGGCATTCAACTTGGTCAAAGACGCACAGTTCGTTTTTATCTACAGATGCCCCTTACCTATGTAGACCGGTTTTTAGTAAAGGTGAACAATTCCTTTCACGTGGTTGTAAAGGCAGGTGTTCTTCTATTCTATGCAATTACGTAAAAAAAAAAAAAAAAAAACCACTTCTGCATGCAGCTCTCATCCCCCCCCCCAAAAAAAAATACATTCCTGAACCTGATCTCGATTCAGCGATGTGTACAATAGTTGAGGCTCTCACGCTCTTCATTGGCTCAGATGGGATGGGGCAGAGAATGCATGAGTGTCCCAAGAGCTTGAGAGGGGTGGAGGTTGGCACTGGCAGGGGACCTCAGAAGAGGATCAGGGCTGCTCTGTGCAAAACCATTAAACCATGTTTGTTATTATTTTATAAAGAGCCTTTCCTATTACTTTAATGAGAATGTAACCCTTGCAGTGCAGGGTCATTGATTTTAAAGTGCAGTTCCAGCTGTATTTGTGTTTATCAAAAGTCAGCAGCTACACAAACTAGCTGCTGACTCTTGAAGCGGAGCTCCACCCAAAACGGGAAGTTCTGCTTTAAGTACTGCTCCCCATTAAGGATTGGCACCTTTGGGGGGCGAGCAGGTACCCAAATTTGATAGGTACCCGCTCCCACTTCACGGCGATCGGAAGTGGAAGGTGTCCTCCCTCCCTTCCTGTAGTCTTTTGGGACACGTGACAGGTCCCAGAAGACTACAGGACCATTCATGAAGCACAGCGCTTCTCGCGCATGTGCAGTGGGTACCCGGCTGTGAAGCAGCAAGCTGTCACAGCCGGGTGCCCACACTGAAGATGCCAGCCTCCTGGAATACAAGATGGCTGGTGAAAATGGCTGCGGGGAGGACATTGAGGGACAGGTAAGTGGCTGTTCTTTAAAAGTTAGCAGCTACAGTTTTTGTAGCTGCTGACTTATTTTTTGACAGGGAGTGGAACTCCGTTTTAATAAACACACTTACCTGTCCCGGAGTCCAGTGATGTTTTCACCCACGCCATCCCTTCTCTCCACGGCGCCACCATCTCTACTGTGAGCACCAGGCTGTGACAGTTTGCGGCTTCACAGCCGGGTACCCACTGCACATGCGCAAGTCACACTGCGCATCCTTGGTCCGGCAGTCTTCTGGGACCTGTGAAGGAGACTGAGGGAAGAAAGAGGTGGCCGAATTACCAGCTCACTTTGCCGCAGTGAGCTGAGCCGGAAGTGGGAGCAGGTACTTGTCAAAAACAGGTATCCACTCCCCGGATAAGGTGCCAAATATGGCAGTGGAGAGGGAGGGGGGGCAAACAAGAAGAGCTTCCGCTTTTGGGTGGAACTCCGCTTTAATGTAATGTTGGAGAGGTTTCCTCTGACTTCCTGTTGTGTCTCCTGGACAGGAAGTGTCAGTAAATCACTAAAACTGACACCTCTTTCATCTACTCCATCCATGTCTGTAAACGGACCTCCAGCTTACCCCCTCAGTCTAGTCTGTTCTCAGGATGAACTGGTTTCAGTTACAGAAATCATTTGGAAACCCACAGGCAGCTCAGGTATTCCTGCTGTGCAGATGAGGCCCCGGGTTTCTCCGTAGTGTGTGTGGGGGAACTCACAAAACAAGCAATCCGATCACTGCGGCCGGGCACACATCCTCCACATAGGAAGCCCGCTCCAGCCGGCTCCTCAGCACACTTCCCTTCCCCAGGTGCACACTGCACACACCTGACTCCCAGCGCCGAACTCCGGGCACTCTACTTCCGCTATACTTTACGCAGCTCCCTCATTGGTTGCTTACACTCCGCAGAAATAATTGCGATGTCTGATTGGAAGATCAGGGACCATAGTTAGGGAATACTGAAGCGTGTACGTTTAAGCGCATGCGCACATGCTTTCCTACGCGCTATTAGTCCTGGATTGTCATAAGAAGGCCGGATCTGTCTGTGATTGCATGCCCTATGGTGACGACTAGACGGAGGCGGGGCAAAATCAGGAAGCAATGGGCGTCGCTGCGGTGCTTCTAATGTGATTGGCTCATCTTATATTTGTTTTCGTCAGCAAGGCCAGTGATTGGCCAGCGATTACGTGATGAGGCAGGATGTTGTTCGTCGCTGGGTGATGAGGGAGTGTGGAGGCGCTTGAGTCGCCGGTACTGGGAGATAGGGAGGGAATGGCCGCGGCCGCTCCTTCAGCGGCTCCCTCCGTGCCTCCTCCTCCTCCCCCTCCGCCGCCCGGCTCAGGGAGACTGCCGAGCCGTGTCCTGGAACTGGTCTTCTCCTACCTGGAGCTGGCTGACCTCCGAAGCTGCGGCCTAGTGTGCAAGCATTGGTACCGAACTCTGCATGGGGACGAGAACAGCGAGGTGTGGAGGAGCCTGTGTTTGAGGACAGTCAGCGAGGAGGCACTGAGAACAGATGTGCTTTGCAACCTGCCCACATACAAGGCCAAGGTGAGGCCTGCTGCTCATTGCATCTACTCAGCATGGGCTGTGTGGGGACAGGGACTGCACAGCATGGGCTGTGTGGGGACAGGGACTGCACAGCATGGGCTGTGTGGGGACAGGGACTGCACAGCATGGGCTGTGGGGGGACAGGGACTGCACAGCATGGGGCGTGTGGGGGGACAGGGACTGTGCGGCATGGGCGTGTGGGGGGACAGGGACTGCGCAGCATGGGGCGTGTGGGGGGGACAGAGACTGCGCGGCATGGGGCGTGTGGGGGGGGACAGGGACTGCGCGACAGGGGGCGTGTGGGGGACAGGGACTGCACGGGGAGTGTGTGGGGGGGCACGGACAGCAGGGGGCGTGTAGGGGGAACCAGGGACTGGACAGCACGGGGCGTGTCGGGGGGACAGGGACTGCATGGCACGGGGCGTGTGGGGACTCGTGGTGACAGCACAGCGGCTAAATGGTTAGCACTTCTGTCTGTCAGTACTAGGGTCATTGGTTTGAATCCCAACCATGACACCACCTGCCTGGAGTTTGCATGTTTCTCTCTGTGCCTGCATGGGTTTCCTCCGGGTTTTATGGTTTCCTCCCACACTCCGAAGACATGGTGGTAGGTTCATTGGATCCTGCCTAAATTGTCCCCCGTATGTGTATATTTGAATGTGAGTTAAGGTCCTTAGATTATACACCCCTTGAGGGTTAGGGACTGATGTGAATTTACAATATATATATATATATATCTCAGTGTCCGGATCTGACACCAGAAAATGTTAATATTTTCTGACTTCTTTTAGGGCCGATGTTTTTGCAGCTGCGGTGAAGAATTTTTATAAGCATGTGTGAAGGCTGCTGTGCGCAGCTTGAATTTCTGATGATTTCAGCTAAATCAGCAGAAATTTGAGCCGTGAGTGCCTCTGTTGGCACCACCTTGCTCAGCAGACATCTATTGCCTATAAAATTGGGTGGAAAACTGTTGGCCAAAAGGTGACTGCATCCAATAAGATGACACCATTTGGGAATTCTGACAGTTGACGTTAACATTTTTCATTTTATTGGGAACTTCCAGTTTTGCGTCACAAGGAGCAAGAATTATGATCTGACGCAAAAAAAAAATTTCCGTTCGTTTTAAATTCTGCAGAGTGCAGCCAGAGGTGCTAGGACACACAAAGGTCATTTGGAATTCCCAGTTGGACAGGAACAAAGTCAGGGGTTATGGCAGGGAGGTCATTAGGTGAGGTGTTGGAGTATCCCTCTTCAGTATTAGTGTTTCCTCCGGAAGCATAGGATGCATGTCTAGGAACCTGTGTTGGAGCGCTAGGCTCAAGAGCTGTGCTGGTGGCTCCTGGTTTACAGAGTTACCTCCTCCTCTCCCGGCGTGATCCCTCCATTAGAGAATAGGAGTGGGGCTGCACTCTTGTTGCCTTCAAATCCTGAGGGGAGGGGAGAGGAGACCACCGATGGTGTGTAGCTGATACCGCCGGAGGATCCTGGCTGGCTCAGATGGAAAGGTGGAGTTGACCATGACTTCCGGTGCATTGGAGCGGCTGCGCTCCAAGCTGGTTTGCTGGAAGTTCCAGTCGGAGTGACATCATCAGTGGGTGCAGGCGACTCGTGGTTGTGGTCTTCATGGTGGTGCAGGCAGCAGTGTTCTTGGGTGGCTGGTGCTGTGTGAAGTAAGACCCAGCAGAGGCTGTGGCTTTGCACCACAGGAACAGAATGGAGGACGGAGTGAAATCATCAGTGGGTGCAGGGGACTCGTGGTTGTGGTCTTCATGGTGGTGCAGGCAGCAGTGTTCTTGGGCGGCTGGTGCTGTGTGAAGTAAGACCCAGCAGAGGCTGTGGCTTTGCACCACAGGAACAGAATGGAGGACGCTCCCTCCCCATGGGGGTGGACCTTGGTTCCTCAGGCATCGCCTCCTCTCAGGTAGGCTTGGGAACATTGTGTTTTCCCTCTTGTTGATCCTGGGGGTGTTTTTTCCCAGAGTCAGAGAGCTTTTAGGTAAGTCTCAGGTGGTGGGGGGGCACACTCTTGATTTTTCTCCCACAGTACAGTGGAGTGTAGGTGCCTGAGCTTATTATGTTTTGTATTGTGTTTTTGCTTGTTGTAGGTTAAACCTCAAGACAAGACACAATCAGGCCCCCAAAATGAAGTGTGCAGTTTGTGTGGCCAGGTTGGGTTGAACCTGGGAAAAGCCCTTATGCCATAGTTCTGTGGATAGCCTAGTTAAGGATGGGTCATTTACAGCCTGTGAGAGTCTTTACTTTTATTAAGGATGATATGGCGACTGTTTCAGTTGTTTAGATCCTTGCTGGACAAGATAAAGATGCCTCTGGGGGTCCCTGACACAGTCTGCGGGTGCAACTCCTTTATTGGAGTTATTTACCCAGGGGGAGGAAGACCCAGAAGAGGATCCCAGACCCCATGCTTCCTCACAGGCAGGGTCAGGCTCTGAGGAGGATGATAGAGAAGGTTGCTCCTCCAGGGATTTTTTATACAAATTTACCCTTGATGTAGATGACCTCCTTTTAAAGCAACCTATGAAACCTTAGAATTTGAGGAGGATGCACATTTATCGAAGCAGAAACTCATGTACCAATGCCTACATGCTAAAAAGCCTAGTGTTTTTCCAGTTCATAGTTCTCTAGTTGATACTCTCAGGCTGGAGTGGGAGGACCCTGAAAGAAAGCCCTTTCTTTTTTTTGGGATGCCCCCTTATCTAAGATGTCTAAGAAGATGGGCCTAGCTTTTGAGGATATGGGGCTGTTAAGAATCCCATGGATAAGAGGGAGGAAATTTTGCTCCGAAGAGCCTGGGATTCTACCTCCAGCTTAAAACACGCTTTGTTGGCCACCTGTGTTACCAGAAATCTTGAGTGCTGGCTTACGAAGTTACAAACGCATCTCTCGGCAGGGACTTCGAGGCTTCCAATATTAAAATCTTTTCCTTTACTGTTCAGAGCAGTAGGTTTCCTTGCAGATGCTTCCGCCAAATCGGTCAAAGTAGCCACAAGAACTTCTGCCCTGGTAAATTCGTCAAGAAGGGCATTGAAAACCTGGTTGGGTGATTCAGCATCCAAGCTGTGCCTCTGTGGCTTACCCTTTTCAGGCGATAACCTTTTTGGTCCAGGCCTTGGAGCGTATGACGGATAAAAAGAAGGTATTTTCTGAGAGTAAAAGGAAGCCTTACCCCAGGTTTTTTCATGGCTAGAAAATGCAAAAATAGTATGTCCACCCTAAGAAACATTGGACAGGGCACAAAAACAAATATAAGGGGGGATCCTATTCAGTTCTCCTCAGGGTCCCACCAAGTCTCAATGACTCGAGTGTCCCAATGGGAAGAAGACTGGGGACTGGGTCTTATGACCTCTTGTTTCCCGGATGTTCCCTGGGGAAGATTCCACCAGCACCCACTGCTGTTTTTTGTTCTGAGGATTTGGAACGGGGACAAGACTACGCTAGATCTTCCAGTCCGGCTCCCTTCCAGGATCAAGAGATCCATTTGGTGGTGGCGAGTTCAGTACAATCTTGGCAGAGTTCTGGAGTGGACCATGCCAAATCCAGTAAATGTCACAACCGATGCCAGCAGCTTTGGATAAGGAGCCCAGCTAGGCAGTAGGGTGACCAAGGGGTCATGGTCTTTTGAAGGAACCTCAAACCAGAGGGAACTATTGGCAGACCAGTGAGTGCTGGATGCCTTTCAGGTGGATCTAAAAGGCCATCGCCTGCAGATTTGTTCAGACATTGTGACCATGGTGGCGTATGTCAACAAACGAGGTACAAGAAGCCCACCTCTCCAAGCAACCGCAGGCAAAACATACTGTCTTTGGCAGAGCAAAATTTGTATTCAATATCTGTATCCATCTGAAGGGAACGCAGAATTCCCTAGCAGACTTCCTAAGTCGTTATCAAGTGAAGCACAACAAATGGCCTTTCAACCAGGAAGTGTTTGCGACCATCACTATGAAATGGGGCATGTCAGAGGCAGATCTCTTTGCTCCCCAAAAGAGCAAGAAGGTCTGCCAGTTCTCCCTAAATCCACAAGATTGGGCCTTGGGTATAGATGCCCTTGCCAATGTGTGGGAGTTCAATATCTGCTATGTGTTTCCTCCAGTAAGACTGATTCTGGCAGTACTTGGGAGGTTTCTGTCAGAAAAGACCAACCTTGTTCTAGTGGCCCTATTTTGGCCAAAAATGCCATGGTTCTCTTTGCTGTAGAGCCTTTTGTTAGTTCCCCCATTCCTTCTTCCAGAGAAAGGATTTGATCTCTCAAGGATCAGTACTGTACGCTCAGGTGAAGGCTTTGAAATTGGCAGCATGGTTACTGAGGAACAGCTCCTGAGAGCTCAGGGGTTTTCGGAGAGGGTAGTGAAAGCATTGGTGAATTGCCATAAGCTGGTAACCAGAGCTACAGTATCTCACAGAAGTGAGTACACCCCTCACATTTTTGTAAATCTTTTATTATATCCTTTCATGTGACAACACTGAAGAAATTACACTTTGCTACAATGTAAAGTAGTGAGTGTACAGCTTGTATAACAGTGTAAATTTGCTGTCCCCTAAAAATAACTCAACACACAGCCATTAATGTCTGAACCACTGGCAACAAACGTGAATACACCCCTAAGTGAAAATGTCCAAACTGGGCCCAATTAGCTATTTTCCCTCCCCCGGAGTCGTGACTCGTTAGTGTTACAAGCTCTCAGCTGTGAATGGGGAGCAGATGTGTTAAATATGGTGTTTTCGCTCTCACTCTCTCATACTGGTCACTGGAAGTTCAACATGGCACATTATGGCAAAGAACTCTCTGAGGATCTGAAAAAAAGAATTGTTTCACATAAAGATGGCCTAGGCCAGTGATGGCGAACCTATGGCACGCGTGCCAGAGCTGGCACGCAGAGCCATCTCAGTGGGCACGCCAGGAAGAAGAGGAAGATGAGCGCACACGGACCACGCACACTGATCGGTCATCCAGATCTCATCCACACTGGACCCCCATCAAACTA